TTTCGTGTCCGGTATATATCTTTAGAACCGATGGAAAGAAATTGAAACTATTTGGCAGAAAAGGTAACCGTTAATGAAACGATGTGCATGGCGTAGGGCTGCTTTGCCGGTAATTAACTTGCTCAGGCCCTTCGTACAAATAATTTGGTAGATCGTTGGGTTTAAATTGGTGAAGAAAAACTGAAAACAATATAATATTATCATAGATAATTTATTATAATATAGAAATGCGTCTACACAAAGTGAGTGAATGTGACGGAATGCAATGATGCATTACTGTCCTAAACATAAAACATGTAAACAAATAACAACAAAAGACATACATGTATACAGTACAGGTCTAACAATATTTAGGGTATTGTATTCTTTTTATTTCCAAAGATTGATTAGAGAAATCTACCATTTTATTAATAACAACCATTTAGAAAACAATGGACCTTTCCGGTTTTTCGTAGCGGAACATTTAGCCACACCTTTTCCATTCATTGCTAGGTCAACTGCTCACAAACAGTATCACAAACATAAGCACGTGCTCTTTTGTGCAAACCAGGTCAACCAGTGACTATGTATTATCTCAGTGTAGCGATTGGATAACAAGTTAGCCAATTTACATAAAACTGTAAACACCGGAAAGGTCCATTACAATTTAACCATATGAAAAAACTAGAAAGAAATAACCTCACTAACCTGAAAACAATATAATATTATCATAGATAATTTATTATAATATAGAAATGCGTCTACACAAAGTGAGTGAATGTGACGGAATGTAATGATGCATTACCGTACCCGTAAATATCACTTTGTATAAACACTTATAAACGGTTAGTACATGTTACTATAGGAATATAATAATGGGATAACGGGACTTTAAGTTATTGAATGACTGACGTAGAGAAGAGAAAAATGTTTGACTTAATACGAGACCAAATTTTGTGTTTAAGGATTAAAGATTGAAAACAACAACTAGTATTTATTCATATTTTATTTATTAATGATAACTATCCTATGACATGCAGAGTGCATGATTGACTTTCTTCAGGTCAACTTCACACTTAGTCATTTTACATCAATTACAATATTTTGTGTCCTCTCTGTTTTTTTTAAACCGTTAGTATGAAATTAAATATTATATTATATTATTAAGATGAGAGCGCAGTTTTGGACTACTCAGGACAAGGTAAAGGTCGACCTGACTAATTTAAGATCCTTATTTAAGTGTATGTATTAAAAAGGGAGATAACAATGCATGAATTCATTGATATGTTTCCTCCCAATATAAGTGTATATGTATTTACCTCCCTTTATTTTCCAAAATCTATTACTTGATAATGCTTTTCTTATCGAACTTGATATTTTTAGATTTTTTCCTGACAATATTATTATAATTGAGGAGCTTTTATAGGCTGATATGATTTGATTATTTTGAAACAAGACAATCTTAAAAATTGAAATAGATGTTTCTTAAGATAATTATGTTTTGTGCTTTTGAATTTCTGGTAAAATATTATTTATATGTTGGGTATTTTTTTAATTTTTATCATTTAAAAAACAACATTATTGTTGTTTTAAGTCAGTATATATACTCCGTGACAATTTCATGAAGATAAGTAATTACCACTCCGTGCTTAAAAATTAGCTTTTTAAGGACGTAATTGGTGACATGTCTGGGGTCTGTACTCCACAGATTAAGCTGCTGTTGCATATATAATTATCACGAAATATTCATTTGACAAGGGCATAGCTTTGGCATGTTTCAATATATATATCTTAATATTGATAACTGAAATAAAACATGTTTTGGGCAAATGTTATCAATGTGTATCCTCTCTGCTTAAAAATTATTTTTGATTACTTTAGATTTTATTTACTTAAAACAAATGCATTCGGGCGTATATTGCCACGCCTATGCGGTGCTCTTGTTTAATTTTACCATATCATTTTCTAAAAGAGTCAACAAGATCTTTATCTTTAAAAATATCCAATAAAAAATCTGGCTTTTATATTATTAGTTTTGGATTTATAATTATATGTATGATAATCTAGATCGATCTGGGTTTTGAACCAGGTTATAATCTTCACGAATTATTATTGAATTATTGTAATCAAGGGAGTCTACAGTATTTAAACTATTTTTAATAAGCTAGGACTTCAATATTTTGGGCATATATATTAATTATCGTTAAGTCTCTAGTTCAAAAAGCATTTGTAAAACAATCCAGTAAACCATCCTTGTTCACTCAATAACTATGTTTATAGTTCCATTCATAGTACACAAGCCGTAAACCCATATTAAATAAAATATATTTCATCTAAGAAGTTATTGATTCAACGGTTTTATCAAAATATTTCGTCTCCTTTGGATGTGCAAGATTTTTAAGAATTCGGGTTTTTGTCTGTCTTTAAAACAAGTGATGTTTAGCAGATAATTGTAATGATTAGCAGACAATTTTACTTTGATTTTCATAAAGAATGTATGGATGCCTTAGGGCCTATTTGAAGTTTCGACTTATATTTTGCTTTACTTTTGACTATGACACTATGATATATATACGCGTGTTCTAGAAGCACAGAGGAAAGGTATATATCCATGTTTTAAATGTTTTTAAACTACACGGTGAATTATAATTGACTTTTATCACATACCTGTGCAGGTTTTGCAACTCCGTAAAAATGGTATTGCACGGCTGTGCTTATATTTTGACGTGACGACAGTAGGTCAGAAATAGAACCTTCCTGAGAACTTTTATTTAAAAGGCATCTCAAATACTTCGAAATCAATAGCTTTACTTATCTCTAACATATAGTGACAAATAAAACTAATCAATTAATTCATGTTAAACATTTGATTCAGAAATGACTACTATACTGAAAAATATGAAGATGAAAAGTTTGATTGTCTTCTGTTTCTGCTTCATTATACTGCCCGGTATTGACCAAGCTACTATGCTGAGGTACAAACATCTATGACACAAATAAATAATGTTCAAAGTAGAGTATAGTCAGTCTGTGGTCGAGTGGTTAAGGTCGTTGACTTCAAACCACTGACCCTCACCACTGTGGGTTCGAATCCCGACAGGGGAGTTGGATTCTTTCAAATGCAGAAGCTATCCAGTTAGCTTATGGGTTCTACTCAGGTGCCTGTTCGTGCCTGAAATAATGCACGGAAGGGCACTTACCTCAAACAGTAAAGCTGGACAGTCGCCATAAGACCTTTACTGTGTCGGTGCGACGTTAAACCCAATCAAACAAAGAATACTTTCAGAAATACTAGTAAGATCTATAGTTGTTGCATTTGACTGACACAACATGTCATTTAAATGTTATTAAGGCCAGTAGATAGGATACTATATAAAAGCTAAGACTTTACACGACTTTATAGAAAATATACACTTTTGAAGATTGTGCCTGAAAAAAAGGAAACAACTATACAATTCATAGGCGACCGAAAAATTTGGCGCCGAAAAACGAAAGATTCAAGGGGGACAAGGTCATGGAAATAAAGAGAGCGTTGTGGATCTCCGGAAAACACATCGTCGGCACGTCTAGCCTGACTTTTTTGACCTGTCAGTTACAATCTGACTATAGTTCAGATTTACTTATTTCTTCTTACATGTAGATACTTGTAATAACTAGTGATAAAACTAAAAGTGGTTCATGAAGTTCCCCATCCACCACATTAATCATTTGTGTGAAAGTTTGGATATCTGAAACCAAATTTAAAATACAAACGAATAGATTTTTTTTTGTACTCAAATATTTCATTACATTTCATTTTATTCAATTCAATATTTTGAATGCTTAAGGTCATTGTACTTAAACAATAAAAGTTTGATCAAAACGAAATATGAAAAACACGTTTAGACTTTTAAATGTGAACAACGTAAGTTATCTTTTTTATTTATACGTAGATGTATTTCTTTATATCATTTTGTCAAGTACTTACATTTCTTTATTTCATTTTGTCATTTTACATTTGTAATATTTTTAATAAGACTGCACGGATTATTTTGTGAGGCGGGAATTCTGTATTTATGTACAATACATTTGTGGCTTGTTTTTTTTTTTCATTCGACGGGCGTTACAGAAAAATAGTAAAGTTGTTTGCTAGTTCGCTAAATCGGACCTTATTTAATTAATTCAATTATACTAGTCATTTAAAGGGACTCCACTGAGTTTTTTTTTACATGATGGGACTGAAAATATTTTTTCCAGATAAATGTACCATTTGATGTAGGTTTAGACCACTAATCTTTCAGATCATTCGCGCACTTCGTTTTTCCACTATAATTATTCAAATTGTAAGAAAATGACCCAATATGAAAAACGTTTAAACAATTTTCACTCAAATCGGGCTAAGAAAAGCAAAACAAATACGATTTTCAATTTATATCAAAGAATATTTCTTTATAATCTTTGCATATATTTCTGTTTAAAGTGCCCCAGCTCATATATGTAAGAAATTCAAATGTTATGTTTTTAGTATTTTAAACCTAAGTGGAGTCCCTTTAAAGATAAAATTTCCATGTGCATGAGTACACTTACAGGATCATGAACATTATAGGCCGTCTAGTTAAGTTAAAGAACTATCCTGTGCATTTTATTTGATAACTATCCTTTATATTCTATTTCATAATGACAAAAACTATCCTTTAAAATTTATTTTAAAACTATCCTGAATGGCCATAACTATTCAATACATTTTATTTTAGAATGACCAATAGGAATCCCAGATTTCAATTTGTAATTTAAAATTACCAGTGAAAATTCTTCTTATATTCAGTTATATCCTGTCAGCTTTTCTGGTAGTCAAACTATTTTTAGATGACATTCGGACAAGAAATGGTTTAATTTATTTGCCAGTGAAGTGTAGACTTTATAATCGAAAAATAAATTGTTTTAAAAGGAGACAATTATTGTCATAAATATAAAGAAACATCTCGGACAAATTACACATCAGCGTAGATGTTGGAAACAAGGAAATAAATAAAACGGAAAAGGAAATAAGTATTTACATTGTTATAAACATGTATACACATTTCACATCAAGTGGGATATCCTTTTATGTACAAAAGTATGATTCAAGCACAATTTTCTTTCGGTACAAACTATTTACATACTAACTATACGTGCATATATAATGTCAATATAAATACAGCAACATTACTTGTAATAAAAATATTCCTTGCCTTTTTCTTTTAGATGTGGTATATAGATATATAGGTAAAATAATGTTATTGCAGAAAATTGAAATCTAGCAAATCTTTACTGAATATATTTAATGTGGAGAAGAAAAAGAAACTATATTTGGGAAGTTGCATTCTCTAGCTATTACTGGTCATATTGATTGTGTCCTTACATAAAAACTGCTAGTCAACATGATTTCATACAGACATTGTCTAACTATAGTGTGTAGAGTTTAAAAATATCAGTATTTTCAAATATCATATTTGATCGTATCTTAAACTAGAAAAATCTGATACTAAAAGTCGCAAAAACAGCAAACAAGTAATAAAATAACAAAAAAACAAAAAAACAGGAAACACAATAAAAACCCAAACAATTTAAGCTTGCGTTGCGTATTCGTATTCAATCATTTTGCCTGCTTGTCCGATACTTTTAATTCAAGAAGCTAATTTGAATGGTCACTATCGTTAATAACATGTAAATATAACTGATCGCCAGTTAGTTCGGGTTCGGATTTAACATTCGTTGCTTTTGTCTCTTCTAGCTGAACTTCTACAGTAATATGGTTCGTCGGGCTTAAATAATGTTGGGATTGTTCACTGTTTGAATTGCTTGCCTCCGACACGCTCTGGCGCGGACAATTGAGAGAATTATTATCAGTTTCGCATCTATCCATTGGAATGTCGTCTGCTGCAATCGTGTCATAGTGGTCAGATTCATAGGGTTCATTGTAGACCCCGGAGTAGTTCATCTCACACGACGAACCCGCAATTCTTTGATAAAATAACAAAATATAATCATATTTATAAAAGTAGCGGTGAAATGGTCTAAACTAAAAACAGTACATGTATAGATTTTAATAACAGGACCATATTATTTGAATGCTGACATACTTTGATGTATTGTCTTTTCCCCTAAATTCTGTTTTAATATATAAATGACTAAAGACGAAAGTATACGAAGTATAAAAAGGTAATTAATTAAGGAAAAATAACTTTCAGGATGATCTTCCACCCCCACCCCACCCCGAAATGCATTTCAAATTTTATACTAAACAAAGTACTCAAAGTTCACATGAAACGTGAATATTTTTGATACTTTTGGGAAAAAATGTACCTAACCAAAAGACTTTGATTGAGTAATATTATATGCAACATCTCTCACGCTCCCCACCGGTCTCAGCACCGGTCTTACCGGTAATTAAATACACAATAAATGACAATAACACATATTGACTCTATAACTTTAGTATTCAATTTGGGTTTATATCTAGAAATATAAAAATGCGATACGTATTAGTTTGGATCAATTGTAACATGAATAGAGAGAAAAAGAGACAATTATCTCTTAATTAAAAGGTTCCAAATATGACCATAACTACTTTACTCCAAGAAGTCAAAACCACTTTAACGTAATATAAGTATTTTCATAATTGTATCAATTATAAATATCGAGATGATGCGTTGTTATAACAATCTATAACTGCCTAAACAAAAGCACAAACTGAAAATATTGCATTGAATTAATGTACCTGTTCAATCGTAACTCACAGGTGATTTCTTCCTTCGTACTGTTCTGGTTTACATTATTTCGTAATCTTGACTTTGTTTTTCTGTTTCGTCGCCATATCAAAAGTACAGCTGTAAAAATGAAATAAACGTATTTTTTTGAGACAATTTGACAAAACATCGTAACATTAGGTATGACTTCTTTCCTTTCCGGTAAGGTCAAATGAAATCTTTTTTTTTTTTAAATATTTAACAACGCCCGTACAAATACTGCATAACCAAGAACCCACTCTTTCTCCCGCATTTTGATAGATTATGAACATAGTGCCAAACTACCAAGCATTTTTATTCAATTCAACATTGATTCTAAAACATTAATACATCTCGCTTTATAGAACGCAGACTTGATTTCATGTTGTTTTATAAGCAGCGAACACATCGGTTTCAACATCTCTTACAGAAATCAATTACATACATCAAATATGCATGTGCTACATATGTACATAACTTGTATACATTTTATAAACAACAAATTAGAAAATAAAATCGAGTGATATGTCAAAATTTTGTTCACGAGAACATTTTTAAATGCAATTATCCAAGTGGTGACAGTACATGCTCAGTTACACACAAATGACAATTATGTTAGTATTTACCTCAGTGGAATTAAAAATATAACATAGCTTCATTTGAAAATTGAACACACGCGTTTTTACAAGCACAAAATAAAAAGGACATTATGCGTATGTGATTTCTTTACCCGTTGCAATGATTAAAATGAGCGCAGCACCCGCTCCAGCTGCTGACAATGTAAGAGAGGTGTTAAAAGAACTTCCGATCGCACCCAGTGGTTTTTCTGTATACTCAACATATCCTATCATCTTTTGTATGTTTCCAATGGTTACCTATAAATTGAAAAAAGAGTATAGATACGTATATGCATGTCAATAAACGTAGGGTATAGGATCAAAAATATGTTATGGTTACAAAAAGGATGACATGAAAATAAAAACAACTGACGGTGGTTTTCATGTAGTTTTAGGCTGAGAAAGATTTTGTATGATTTAGACGTTAGCACGATCATATTTGAACTATTGGCTCTCTTTTGCGTTAGTTCTAAACATTAAAAGGGCAAGGCTTTTTTCTGTGGAAAATCCTATTGAACTGGCAACGTAACAATAATTCAGTCTTTTAGGTAGTATGTTCGAAAATTGCAGTGATATTTTCTCATAACCTTGGTTATTTTAGTCTGCCAAGCTCTAAATAAGAAATAAACACAATTTACACGAAGATACATTTTCATACACATTGTGACTGGTCTATTTAAGTATATACGTTTCAATTAAATACTTGATTTATAATCTACAAAACCAAAACTGTATTAGTTGAATGAATATTCCTTACATTAACTTCCGACCGTGTTGCATCTGGTATTCCACTCCTTGGTTCGTATTTAGGGGCAATGCAAGTTATACACGTCATGTTCAGCTCCACTATGGCACATGATGCCACGCCGACTGTAACATTTATATCAAATTTTGTTGCAACATGGGTCAGCATATAACCCTGAAATCATAAGAGGATGGTTAACTTTTTTTCTATTATTGAGTCTGTCTCTGGATACTTGCAATGTAAGTTGTAGCTATATTGCCAAAAGATGTTCCATATTCTATTATAGGGTCTTACAATAACATTTAAAATTTGCAAGATTTTTAATACACTTAAAATAATAGATATGAAGACACCAGTGAGATCAATCTCATTAAAATCATATCCTAACTGTCGCTTCGTAGCGAAGAGTAACGGAGCGTAAACGATGATCTGATTTTAATGAGATTGCCAGTGACACAGAATTGAAATAAAAGTATATTCTATGTACAGATGTTAATTCATGTTGTTGATGTTTGGTATTAAGTCACACCGATACTATAATGCTCATATGGTCACTTTCCAGCTTTACTGATGGAGAAGACTCTATATGTCACCCCGGCATTTGATTTTTAGGCAAGGCAGGGCCATTAGTAAAGCCAGCGGTGTTCCGTCATCTAACTGGACAATTTCCTCACATGGAAGATTTTAAAGATCGGGGCGGAAACAAACCCACAAGCGTGGGGAGGGGACAAATGTTCCAAAGGCAAACAGCTTTAACAACATGACCATGAACACCCCATGACAATTTATAATACCAATTACTTATATATGTTTTTAAATTTCATAATACTTAACAGGTTTTGAAATTTAATTCAGCTCTTTGATATTCGAACACTAAAATATTAAACAGAATCTGGAATTAATTTTATTCTTCTAAAATAAATACGTACAGAAATATTCAGACGTCTTGTGTTTGCTTCAAATTTTACGGCATGGTCTTCGTCAGTTAGATCATTTATAATTGGATCTGGACAGTAACATATTTTAACACTTTTATTAATATTATCCAAATAAAATAAGCCCTCGACTGTAACATTTTTTGAAAATGGATCAGTTGTATTGTCAAATTTCAACAACTCTTTTCTAACACTTTCAGGTGCCTCTGGGGTTTGACAAGTGATTAGTCTTCCTGACAGTATAATGCAATCGCCAGTCTGTAAGAAAACAACATGTTGATTACTAAAACATGACATTTTTAGAACTTGAAACCTGATCTTTTAAGATAATGATATTAGAAAGAATGCACTTAAATGATAAAATCTTATCATGACTTTGGAATACACATGACACATTGACCTTTGAAGTAGGGAACTGATTCATATTCCCGACACGTTGTCACTAAGACAAACACAATCATGCATTATAATTTTTAAATCCACCCTGGAATGACAGAATTGTTGACCAGACACGAACATTAGTGTCCTCTTACAAACTAATCATATCATGACTTTTGATCTACACGTTTAATCTTGTTCGTTCAAGCGTATGACGCGTTGTCATTATGTTCAACACATTTATGCATTAGAATTTTTAAATCCATCCAGACATTACAAAATTGTTGACCGCACACAAACATCAGTGTAGTATACAAAAATTGATATTGTTAATTTTATCTACAAGTGTGACCTTGACGTATAAGTCAGTGACCTGATTCTTGCACTCTGTGCGCCGTCATTATGCCCAACTCATTTGAGCCGCGTCATGACAAAACCAACATAATGGTTTGCGACCAGCATGGATCCAGACCAGCCTGCGCATCCGCACAGTCTGATCAGGATCCATACTGTTCGCTATTAGTTTCTCTACTTGCTATAGGGTTTGTAAGCGAACAGCATGGATCCTGATCAGACTGCGCGGATGCGCAGGCTGGTCTGGATCCATATTGTTCGCAAACCATTATGTTGGTTTTGTCATGACGCGGCTCAAATAAAGAAAATAAAGTAAACATCATTGAATTTGACAATGTCCACCAATAACTATAGTTGGTTCATATTCACAAACTGTGTGCCACTGTCCTAGTATAGACGGCAAACGCTCTGAGACAAATACAGTCGCTACACTTGTAGATATCAGGAATTTAAATTGAATCCTAATCACAGAAATAGAATTGAAAAATCATTAAGATGATCATACGTCTGAAATTTTACGTTTGTTTTTCTGAATAAGATCGTCATTCAATAAAAATGAGGATCCGCCAAAAACCCAACCACTGACACACCAACTATTTATGTAATATCTAAATAAGTGCAAAATATAATAGAAAAAATCATTCTAAAAGCACTACGAAATCAACAAAGGAATGTTCCTTTACTTTGTTGATGGGCCAAATATGTCAGTGAGTATACGTTAAAACACATTACCTCAATTTCTTCTTTGTAACGTAATATTAATCTGGAACTATGAGCGTTGGTTAACTGTACCCCTTCAACTGTAATTTTAGTTCCTCCACTGAGAATGAAAAAGATGTTACACTTGAAAAAGCAAGCTCTATTTGTTGACGATATATACATATATTTCGATCAGGAACGCTAGTTACCTATCTTCAGATAAAAATGTTGAACTGCTGTTATACAATTATAAGAAACCCAATCAGAAAATCAATATATTTTCAGATAAAAAACCCCACTGATACCTATTCTAACCAAAATAAGCGTTGCTTTATTTGTAAGAAGAGTCAAAACAGCTGTTCAGACAAACCCTTAAACTGTGGACATTAAGATATTTTCATCTGAATTGAAATTACTGGGTTAATCTGATCCTTATATATCTTAGTGACTCAACATAAGGCACATTTAAAGTATTAAACACATCTGATGATGTTTCTTAAATCCGAATTTCAAGATTTTCATATCCAAATGTTAGATACTGGTTTTCAGCAAGTGCTATTAGGGTGGAAAAAGTTTTCCTCTATTTTTGTGAATATACCTTAGGAATGCTTTCTGTGGTGATAACGGATGAATAATCGGGTCGGCGATATATGTAAATGCATATTGTATGATAATTTCACTGCGATCAATCTTGACAGATACACCGTTGATTGCATGTTTTTCTTTTTTACCAACTGTACAAACGATAGTAAATTTTGTTGGTGTTCTAAAAATATAAAAAGAACATGTTTTATGAGAAGCAGGTGAATGGCATTTAAGGCAGAAAAAGAGCACTGATACACATTCAATGTGTAAAAACATTGACGAAATAATTGATTTTCCTTTTACATATTTTTTATTGACCTGTTTTCCAAAGAAGGACTTTTCTTAAAAATCTACACTGATCTCATTAATAATTGTAACTTTATCTCGAAAAGTTCTTTTAATGAAAACGTAATGTCAAAACTAACATTTTGGAAACATCAAAGAAGGTCAGTGCATTCCCAGCTGCAGTCTCGTTATGTATATTCAGTGTTGTTATATTTTGCTGGTTCTTTGGGATCATTGATCCCAGCTTATAAGTATAGAAGATTGAATTCCGTTCGAGGGATTGATACCGCTTATGTCCATGCTTGAGGCGTGTGAGATGTGACAAGTGTACACAAACCGAGTCTACAATTTTATATTAAATTGTTGTTTTCGATACCTCCAATGGATCTACCTTTACAAGATTTTTAACTTAAAAATGGTTACATACATATGGATTTTATTGTAAATTATAAAAATAGTAAATGAATGAAAAATATTTAGCCCGAATGTATCTTAGTATAATCTCCAAAGCATGACATAAAAATTGTTGCAATCCACACAATATATATACTGAACATGAAATTTAAAAAAAAATCCCCCTGTAAGTACAGATATATGTAAACACACATATAAAAATCAGGATTATATTTGATTAATATGTATAAAAGAGTATTTTATTGCATTTTTCGTGAAAGAATAATTGTTGAGGGTTTATTCAAAAGTAGAGAAATGGTAATAAAAATGCGAAAGGGTCGCCAAACGGATTCACAAATTAGTATCGGGTATGACCACTTTCAGCATAAAGGACTTTTTTGGCACCGTTGGCACATAGAACGGATCAGCGTATTGATTTCTGTTAGCGTTATGTAGTTCCATTTCTGAAATTGTTGTCTTAGCTGAATTAACGGTGGAATAGGGTGACATCTAACACGCTGGTCCAAATTATCCGAAAGGTGTTTAATGGGATTTAGATCAGAGCTTATGGCAGGCCAGTCATTATTAAATGCAATGTAATTCGCCCTGAAAATATTTACAGTATCCCTAGTTGTATGGCTTGTGGCATTATCATGTTGAAAAAGAGTGATAATGGCATTATTTTGAAACAGTGGGATAACATGCCTCGCAAGAATTTTTTTCTCGGTAGCGTTGGGCATTTAGTCGGCAAAACGTTCATTTTTTCTACGGTATACTCGAATCCTGCCATCAGCTTGATGAATGAAAAACCTCGACTCGTCAGAGAAATGATTGTTATACCATCGTTGTCAAAGCCAGCGTTGGTGTGTATGTGCCCAATTAACACGATTTTTGCGGTGACGTCGCCTCAAAACACAACAAACATATGGTCGACGTCCATGTAGCCCACCTTCGTGCAAGCGATTGCGCACAGTTTGGGCAGATATACGGCTGTTATGTACACCAGGTGTTAGCGGCAGTAACTGTGGCAGTTTTGAAGCGATTTCGCTGCTAGGAGTTCCGAATTTAGCGGTCTTAAGAACGCGTCGTCGTGCGTGGACATCCACTACGTGGCCGATCCTCTGTACACCCTGTTGTTTGATAACGTTACCTAAGGTGTCGACCAGCATTAACCATGGCAATGGCACGTTCTCGTTAACTTTTCGGAATTCTAGGTATATCAAAATAAAGAATACAGAAAAAATCCAATTGACATGAAACCCTATAAAATTACAAAGGTTTCATAAAATATACACTATCTAATGGCCTGTGCATGCACGTGAAAATCGCTTTTAGCGGGTTTCTCCTGCAAAACGAGTTAAAATCGAGTTTAAGTTTGTTTTACCTGACACATAGCCGTTCATTTGACATTTTGATTTTAATAACGCTATATCTCCGCTTAAACACAGGAAGTTTTTTTTTTTTTTGGTTCAGTATATTACCTAGTAACAATTTGTATTAGAACAAGAGCAATAAGAATAGTTTGCGTGAAAGATTTGTTCATTGATTATTAATCAAAATAAAGCAAACAATTATAACGTCTCATTAATATTAATATTTTATTACATATAAACTGTACTGTTTCTAGTGATGAACATTTCAATATATATTGTTATCGATATCATGAGCTAAAATTGCCTAACAAGTACACAAAGTGAAATCCTTATGACGGTAAATTTTATAAATCCAACATCTAGTGAAATATTTCACCATACCTTGTATTGCAGTATCAACTTTAGGCTCATAAATTTATTTTATTTGCGGATTTGAATCAAGAGAACGACGCATTTTTCTCAACAATTTAACATTATTTAAGCATGCCTTCAAACTTAAACCTACACAATGTGAGTCCTTTGTAGAAACGTTTATAAGAAAATAACCAGTTGAACCTATTTCCTGTTATTCAAACGCGTTTGAAAAAATTAACAATGCTACAATATAGATCGAGGTGATATTTACAGTATAGACTTGAGTCATAACTTAAGTCATCAAAATTATGTGAAGTGTTAAATTCTTCCGCTTCAACATTTGGTATATGATTGACGCCAGGAAATATGTTTTCAAATAATTTTCATTTACTATTTCTTTTAGAATTGTTGAGCGTTGATATGGCTCCATATTTAAATATTCATTGTGTACAGTTTATTATCTTTGTGTTGCAATAACTTTCACATTACTATATACAATTGTGCTAAACAAAATAATTATTTATTCAATAGGTTTCTGTAAATTTCTAATCAATGATGGTTTATGCAAAAACCCAGACTTTGTTTATCAGTTCATTTTGAGTTTTGCATTTGCTTTACATTTTACTTACACATTTCCTAAAGTCAGTGCCTGTTTTACTTTAGGTCCTGAGCATTTGGAACCACCAATAGTTACATGAACATTTCTATTTCCAATTCCTAGATTTTCACCAAATATAGTAACCCGTGTGCCACCTGCCTCTGGTCCGAAACTTGGTTCAATCCCTGTCGCAGTTGGAACCTTCAAAGCAGTTATATTTCACAACAGTTTATAATTATATTAATAAAATAAGAATGATTATTTTTATTATTATTATTATTATTATATTTTTAAAAGAAAGAATGCAGGATTATATCATCCACTTGCTTAAAATAAAAGATGCTCGAAGGTTGTGCTGACTTTATTCCCAGCGTTCTAAGGAGATTCGCAAAAAATATTTTAACAACTATGCATATCCGGGTTCCTTGATATGTTTTCGTTTTTCAAAGATTCTAAGATACATTAAGCCAAACGTTTGTGTTATTTGTGTACATAATATTTTCAATGAGAATTAAACATCTTTTTGTACACATTGAGATATGTTACGTGTTCTAAAGATAAGCACAGTATAAATACAAAGTGTCATTATAAAAACTAGCATTTTTTTCTAAGAAAGGACCGTATCAACTTAGTCAGTTATAAGGGGCTTAGGAAATGAAAGGCGACAAATATTAAGAAATCCAAAGCAAAAGCTACATTATGTTCAATGAGCCTAACGTATCTCTTTAATCTCTTTTTTATTTAAAAAATTAAATTGGTTAAAAAAACAAAGCCTTATGATTGGAAACATTGTGATAAGTGAAAATTCTAAAATTAAACTGTGCAGAATATTATCAAATATGTTATATCTACTCGGTAATAAAACATAACATCGGAGTTGGATATCTTTCCATTAACTGACACTGTGACGCCTCCTGATGTCTCGTTTTGGGATGATCCAGTTATGCATATTATTCTGAAAAATATACGTGTCGTATTAGCGGGAAAACATACTTTTTTCACGTTTTTAAAGGAAACATAGAGCATTTCACTGGGAATTTGTGCTAAAAGAGAGAAATTATAAAACCAAACAGGTGAATAAGATAAATAAAATAAAGCACAAATGATATATAATTATTAATCAAAACCAAATTTCAGATACAGTTAATTTACCTGTTTCGAACATTTGTTTGAAAAATACCGCTCTGGTCCTTCGAGTCATTTAAATGCGACATATCGTCATTTATTTCGCAAGGAATGTTTGCAATTTCAGCGCTTGTATTGTCCAATAGGGTTGAGCCGAGATTTAATCCATAAACGGTGATTCTTGTTCCTCCATCTACAGGACCATCCCTTGGAATAACCTTAAAAATGTACAATACAATGTATTTAGATTCATCGTTTTCTATAGAACAATAAATGGCTGTCACTTTTAATTTTATTTTACATTTAAATACTAAGAATCGAAAACGCTTTAAATGTATTTGAATTGATTTGAACTCGAAGTTATTTACTTAACTAAAAGGAAAGATTGAACTTAGATATCAACTTAAGGTGTATTTCAAAACAATAATTATTTGGGAAGTTAAACTTACTTTTGTCACAGTAGGTGCCGGACATACTGTCGATGAGCAGTTTTGATCTTTATATTCGCACTTGTTGGTGTTGGTGCACCAGTCACAATAAAATCGTGTTTTATTTAGTGCTTTACATTGACTGCAGTCTTTGGCCAATATTGTACAATTGTAAACAGTCACTAAAATATTGTATTTTTAGAATCAATCAAATTTCCTTTTTACATATACACTCATAGGTTAATGACCTACTTTATATATTCGGAACATATTTTCATTTTTATATAAATAACAATCGCCACCGCCAAGTGTGAGCCAGATTCGACGTGTTCTTACTACTAAAAATCTGGAAACAAAAGTCAAACACACCGGAGGAAGAATATTGCGGTAAAGAATACTTCTAGGAAAATATCTTGAACAAAATATTTATTGTTTTTTTTTATCTCATTTAAGCACAAGCAGATAAGCAATTACATTCTTGTCTTAGTT